CCTAAGACACACAAGGATGTTTCTCACATACACTCTATTGTGAGAAAGGCACCAGTTACAAAATGCTGCCCAGGCTCAGTGCCTGTGGTTCAAGCGGCTAAAGTGCCAGCCACATACACCTGAGCTGGAGGGTTCAAATCCAGCCCGGGCTTGCCAAACAACCATAATGGCTGCAACCAAAAAATAGCCAGGTGTTGTGGCAGGTGCCTGTAGTCCCAGCTACTTGGGAGGTGGAGGCAGAAGAATCGCTTGAGCCCAGGAGTTGGAGGTTCCTGTGATGCCACAACACTCTACCCAGGGCGAAACTTGAGGCTCTGTCTCAAAAAAACAAAAAAAATAGCTGCCCACTGTCTGGTTCTGGTACATGACATTCTGGAAAAAGCTAAACTACAGGGACAGGAGGAGGGACAAGGACCAGTGGTTTTGTCCCAGCAGAGGATAAAGGGGCATGAGGAGACATTCCGGGGAGATGGGACTGTTCTGTATCTTGACAATAATGGTGGTTACATGACTACCCATTTGAGATAATTCGATGAACTGTAAATATAAAAATGATGACTTTCTCCCCGTTGCTCCCTGTCTAACTTCCTCTCCCCCAGCCATGAGGCTCTTTTCGTTATCTCCTGCCTCAGGACCTTTGCACTTGCACTTCCCTGCAACAGAAATGTTTTCCCACATCTTCCTTCACATTTTCCTGTGGTTGGATTGGGTCTCCGCCCATGTCACCTCCTCAGAGACGCCCTCCCTAATCCCCTCTAACTAAATTCTCTATCCCCTCATAACCTGCTGCCCTATCACCCTGTTGAGTTAAAAAAAAAAAAAAAAACAACCTACAATTCATTAAATAGTAAATTCCCTGAGGGAGTTCTCTCTTGGTCATGGCAGTGTCTGCAGCACCCAGCACATAGTAGGAGCTCATTAAATATGGACACAGAGGCAGTTGAGTGAAAAAGTAAAGGCACAGAGCTCTATGGGCCTGAGTTCAAATCCTAGCTCAGCGCCTGGTGTGCTGTGTGGCTTCAGACAAATTGCATAACCTCTCTGTTCTTCATCCAAAAGGTGAGATTAACATGCCTCTCTTGAGGGGATGTGGAGAGGATTTAATCCAGCAGGAACCAGCCCTGGCTACCCTAAATCCATGGGCAAGAGGCCCTACTAGAAAAAGGCAGATTATCTTCACATTTACAGTTGCCCCTGGGTTGTGCTCTCGTCCAACTCAGGCCCCAGCTTCAGGGAATGTTTGTTGAATGAAAGAATGAGCAAATCACAATCAAATGCCTTAGCTTGGTGATTAAGTCCCCAAACAACTAAGCCCTTTCTCACTTGAGCCCTAAGGACTTACTTTGCTATCCTCCAGTGTGCTCAGGATCAGCTGCCTCTCCTGGCCTTTGCACAAACTATGTGGGACCAGCATGGCCAGCTGTGCCCTTTCTCCAACTTCTGCTTTTCTTGGTGAGCTCCTGTGTGTCCCTCAAGCTCACTTGAATGCCCCCTCCCCCAGTACACCTCCCTAGAGCCCCATTCTCTGGGGTCCCCAGCCCTGGATGTCTGGATCCATCTCCCCCTAGCCTGCATCAAGTGGGGAAAGCCCTAAACGGTCAGTGAATGTATTTGCAGCCGCCCTCCAGTGTTGTGGTCCTGGAAAAACCACCTTCCCTTTTACAGACTCAGTTTCCTTCTCTGGAAGATGAGGGTGTACCACAGGAACCCAGCTCAGCCCTTGAGGAACCAGTGCAGGGAAAAGCACATGCGCTCGGTGGCAGGGCTAGTGGCTCTGGCCATTCCTGAGTGCGCCCCTCCCCTGAGGCTCAGTTTCTCCATTTGGCTATATTCCCTCTTAGGCAAACACAGACGGGGCACCACCTGGTTGGGCAGGAGGGGGCCTCGGCTGCTTCTCATGAAGAACAGCAGCCAAGGCGGGGGCCTGCAGGGCTGGCACGGGCGGCCTCGTTAAGCTGCCAGTCCTTGGCAGCTCTCTGCTTTCATGGAGGCGGCTGGAGAAGGGCCCAGGCCTGGCTGTTGGGGGACTGAGGATGCTGGGATAAAGCTGAGGCCCCTTCTCAGAGGAGGCAGATCCTGAGTGGGGGCAGGGAAATTTTTGTACACTTATTAAGCACCTGCTGAGTGCCAAACGAGGCTGCTCAGAGGCTTTGCCCATGCTGTTTCAGCTGCCAGGATACTTTTCCTTTTAATGTTGCTGATTACTGCTCATTTTGATCTCAGTCTAGAAGACATTGCCTCCAGGAAGGCTTCCAGATTCTCTGAAGTGAGTCAGGCACCTCCCCTTGGGTTAACACAATGCCTGAGTTTTCTCCATCAGAGCTTCATTCACCCAATATCATAACTGAGGTGGATAGGTCACTTAGTCAATTAGCAAATGCTGACAGAGCACTTAGTAGGTGGCAGGCACTGTGCTCAGCACTGTGCATACTTAGAAAACTCTATAGAATAGGTGCTGCTTTTGTTTCAACTTTACAGGTGGGGAAACTGAGGCTCAGGGAGGTCAAATGGTGAAGTGAAGCCATCTGGCTTGGGGGCCTGGTCCAAAGCAGGGCCTCAGTAAGAGTTGATTTCCATCCCCAGTGACAGTGAACTCACCCCACCCTGAAGGAGATTCGTTGGAGGTGTGGGGATTTATTCATTCATTCACTCATTCTACAAATATGTATTCAGCAGCCATGGAAGGCCAGGTCCCATGAGTGTGTCTGAGTGACAGGCAGTGCTAGACATCTCCAGGATCTGTTCCCTCTCCTTCCATGGTAACAGAACCCCTGATTTTCAGGGTACAGTTGGTCACTCAGAATAGTCTACTTATCCCAACATCCTTTCTGCCTGGTGTGGCCACATGACTAAATTCTGGCCCATTTGATGTGAGAAGTTTGAGCCCTTCCTCACCCCTTCCACCTCATTGCCTGAAAGGCAGATGTGATGACTGGAGCTTAGGCAGCCACCTTGTCCATGAAGAGGATGCCACTTCCCTAGAATATGGAACAGTAAGATGGAAGGAGTCTGGGGCCCAGACACTGTGAAGCTTCTGTGCCATCTTTGGGCTGAGTCCTCATATTCATGAGCAAATAAGCCCTGTGTACTTGAGCTGCTGTGGTTGGGTTTGGGATCTCATAGACAACCTCAAGCCTGACTGCTACGTCTGTTCCTCCCTGTTTCTATTTTTCCATCCTCACTCCTTCTCATGCTGGACTAAGAGGTCTGCCCCACCACAGTGGCCAAGGCAGTGTCCCCTAGGTAGTGTAGCCTCCATATTGGCATTAAAGCAGGGGTCATTACCAGGCTGGGGAGTGGTGTCCCTCATGAGGTGCATTGGAGGGCCTCACCTGAGAGCCATGGTCCCCCAGGAATCTTATGCAGGGACTTCAGCCCACATCTTGTTGCCTTTACCACACTTCCACCTACATCCTTTTCCCATCATCAGCCCAAGAACGGAGACCTTTCCCTTAAACCACCTTGGAAATTGCCAGCTACATCATGAAGCACAGGCAGCAAAGCAAAAGTGGTAAGTGCCTCTGTGTGTGCAAAACAGGAAACCTCTGGTCCAAAGACAAATATTCCCTTGTGACTCACTCAGACCAGACTGCTAGGTCCAAATCCCAATACCCCTCACATGCTGTGTGGCCCCAAGCAAGTGACTTGGCCTCTCTGGGTCTTCCTTGTTGCCTCATTTGTAAAATGCAGACCTGGAAGTATTTTTTTTTTTTTGAGACAGAGCCTCAAGCTGTCCCCCTGGGTAGAGTGCTGTGGCATTATAGCTCACAGCAACCTCCAACTCCTGGTCTCAAGCGAGTCTCCTGCCTCCGCCTCCCAAGTAGCTGGGACCACAGGCGCCCGCCACAACACCTGGCCATTTTTTGGTTGCAGCCGTCATTGTTGTTTGGCGGGTCCGGGCTGGGGATTCGAACCCGCCACCTTAGGTGTATGTGGCTGGCGCCTTAGCCGGTTGAGCTATAGGCGAGCCGACCTGGAAGTATTTGAAGAGAGATTTTCTCCAAACCCTCCAGTGGTTTCCTGCCAGGCATTTCCTGCCCTCGGGCCTTTGCATGGTCTGTTTCCTCTGCCTAGACACCCTTCTTGAATGACCACCTCCCACTTATTTCTGGATCCAGTCCTAATGTCTCCAGCTAACTACTCCCAGGCCAACTCCATTTCATCATCCATTTGTGTTGTATTCCTAGCGTTTATCTCCAGCTGAAATCTTCCTGATTATATATTTTTTTCTTTTGGAGACAGAGTCTCACTCTGCCACCCAGGCTGGAGTGCAGTGACATCATCATAACTCAATGCAGTTATCCTCCTGAATCAGCCTCCCAAATAGCTGGAACTACAGGAGCCCACCACTACCCTGGCTAATTTTTCTACTTTTGGTAAAGACCAAGTCTCTCTCTTGCTCAGGCTGGTCTCGAACTCCTGAGCTCAATCAGACCTCCTACCTTAGCCTCCCAGAATGTTAGGAGTGTTTTTAATTAAATTTAAAAACAAGTTTGAACAGTGGGGAAATCCCAAGTTTCATTCAGCATGAATGCACCCAAGTCAGTCCCTTCATTGTGTGACAAATGTGCCCTGGTTATGTAAGACATGGACGTCAGGGGAGAATGAGTGAGGGGGATTGGAGAACTCTTGGCAGCACCTTTGCAACTTCTCTGGCAATCTAAAATGGTTCCAAAGTAAAAAATTTATTTTAAAAGACAAAGTGTAAGTGAATAATGAAGGAGCACATTAAGGATCAGTGGCCCGTGTGCCCAGGACTGGAACCAGCAGGAACATCCCAGCTCAGAGCCCTCAGCCCGCCGTCTCCTCACTCACAGACACTGGAGCAAGCCTCAGGCTCAGCTGGGCTGGGTGTCCCTTGAGCCCAGCCAGAGTCCAGGCAGTCTGTCAGCAGTGAGGGCGAGAATCTGCTTTCAAATCCACTTTATTTTCTCCAGAAACATTCCTCATTGCCACCCTCCCCGCCCTAGATCTTGGCTGACCAGGGGGGCTGCAGAGCCTCAGGAAGGTCCTGGGGACCTGTCAGAGGATGCTGCCGCAGCCTCAGCCACCACCAGGGATGTGGTGCTGCAGCGACCATATGGGCCACCTCGGGCCAGCAGCTCTAGCCTCCGGGAGCGCAACCGGGCCTGAATGGCCCAGATTGGAGGCCGGTGGCCAGGCAGAGAGGGGTCCTCATCACAGAAGCTGTCAGCAGTGGAGTCGGAGCCATCTTCAGTGCCAGCCACTGACTGTTTGCACACGGGACAGGACCGTCGGGTGGCCTGGGCAAACCAGGGGTCAATGCACTTGCAGTGGTAGGTGTGAGAGCAGGGGAGGATCTTGAGCTGGTCACCTTCCTCATACTCATCCAGGCAGATGGCACACAGGTCATTGCGCCGTGTGAAGGTGCGGACTTGGGCCTTCTGGCAGGTGGGTGTCTTGACCACTGGTCCTCGTGTCCACCAGGCCCGGACCCAGAGCCACAGGCGACGTAGGACAAAGGTGACAGACATGACCAGGGCCAGGGTTCGTCCCAGCACCCAGGAGACAGCCAGCACCGGGTGGCAGTCCAGGTCAGGGCAAGGAGGGTGGTTAGGCAGGAGGAGCACATGGGCCGACTTGTCACAGCGAACTATGACCCGCAGGTCCTGTGAGGCAGCTTCGCCCACAAACACCGAGGGGATGGCGATCTGGCTACGCAGGTCCTCATAGACGTGTGCCATGCGCACCAGGTCGTCGGAGCGGACATTGTGTACGATGGCCGCCTCGAAGCCGGCCCGCTGGGCATGGAGCACCTTGAGGTCAAAGGAGCAGTCGTAGCGGCGGATCAGCACGATGGCACCCAGAGAGCGGTTGCCTGGCTGTGGGCCCTCGATGGGCTGGCACGCATTAGCCGGCTTGGCCTCCATCAGGTAGCCCCGCACGCCCTCCGGGGCCAGGGGGACACCAAACAGTGCCGGCAAGTCTGCAAAGTCCACGGTGCTTGCGTTGTCTTCCAGCACAGCCCGCACCACTGCCTGTGAGGGTGCCAGCAGCACCGACAGGATCAGCAAGGCCTCGACCACCGCCACCAGGGCTGGGGCCGGCCACTGCTGCCCCATGGCCACCCCCTCCTCAGGTTGTGTGCAGCTAGGTCCCGCTGGGGACGGCACACAGGAGGCCGTGGGGCATCTCCAGGGCCTCCCCGGGGGCCCGTGGCCAGGATGCTGCTGCAAGTGGCAGGGAGTTGGAATGGGTTGGGGGGCTTAGAGACAGGGCAGCAAGGACACGGGGACCTGGTGGATCTAGGCAGAGCGTGCTCCCAATAGCAGCCTGGCGACCATTGTGACTTGGAAGGCTGGTCTCGGGAGCTGCTGGTCTAGGTGGCCTTTCCGGCAGATGACACTGAGGCTAGAGGCCCTCTGGGTTCTAGATGTCTCCAGCCTCTGTGACATCGTTCTGTTCCAACCTCCAGCTGCCTGGACCTGGGACCCATAGAACATTCTTAGTGCCTGACTTGGCGGCCTGGACAGCCTTCTCTGCAAAGAGCATCTTTGTCTCCCACATCCAAGGAGGCCAAACAGTGTCAGAAAGTGGGTCTGGTGGTCCCCAGCAGCACAGGTCCAGCACTCACTTGGTGCTAAGGCTCTACCAGTATCATCTCCCCGAGTCTCCCAGCATCTGCCTCAGGAAGGTGCCAGTGTTACCCTGATTTGAGACCCAAACTTGTTCCCCACCCCATGAAGTCAGGACTTCAAACCCAAATTCTTGACCTCCTCTCACACTCCTTTTCTCTCACTCTGCTCGAGCCATACAGGCCTCCTTGCTGTTCCTTCAACATGCTGGGCATAGTCCTGCCTCAGGGCCTTTGCATGGGCTGTGCCCTCTGCCAGGAGCCCTTTTTTACCATTCCTTACATGGTCAACTGCTGTATATCCTCCACAACCAGCTTCCTTGATGACTGAATCAAGAGCAGCCCCCCTCATTCCCTATCCCCCTTCTCTGTTTAATTTCCCCCATAGTGTTGTCTCACTCCAGCCTCATGTCTTGTTTCCTTGTCACTATCTGCCTTTTCCATCAACTATGGGCTACTTGAGAGACTTTCTGTCCACCACTCCCAGCAGAGCATGCAGCACATAGTAGTAGGTCTTCAGGATGTAATATGGAAGAAATGGCCATCATCCCCATCTCATAAATGGGAAAATTGAACCCAATTCTGGGTCCAGGAATGAGGGCAGGATTCAAGGTCCCTCCTCCAGCAGGCATTCAGCTTCTTGCTGTCTGAAGCCTGATTTCTATTTCAGACCCAGCTTGGGAAGGCTCACCTCCAAGGAAGACAGGGTAGGCTATTAGCAATCCCCTTTCAGCCAATCGGATGTACCCACCCTGGAGCTTAATGCACAATGGGGTGATAAGACCATGTTTCAAGGGAGAAGCACATAGGTTGGAGGCACTTCCTTCTGGACCTTTCTTCTGCTTGTCTAAATCTTATCCATGCTCTTTGTCAGGGAATCTGAGGTAGCAAATACTACCCAACACACTCTGGCTTAAGTGGAAGGGAAATTCTATCACATAACGGGAAATTCCAGAGTGTGGGCTTCAGGTATGGCTGGCTCCAGGCTCTCAAATGGCATGATCAAGAATGTGTTTTCTTCCCTCTTGGGGTTCCTTCATCCTCTGCACCAGTTTCACTAGGGCAGCTCCTGGCTTAAGTCACCAATTTGGCCACCTAAAGGGAAGAAAATGTGTCATGCCAATGAATCTAATTGGTTCCATTTAAATCCCATCTTATGACTATGTTAATGTAGCCAGGGACTTACAGGACTCTGATTGACTGTGCTTGTCCCTGGAGGTGGAGTTGGTCTCACCCTAAAGACATCTTCCTGCTCCAACCACAGCTGGACACCCCACTCTCATCTAAACCCCAACTCTGCTTCCCTGATCCTGGTATTTTTACTTAACCCAGGAATTTTCACTTTGGTGCAAATGAACCCAGAGTGCAACTGGCAATGTCTGAGACATCTGTGGTTATCACACTCGGGGGAGGGAGTGCTCCTAGCATGGAAGAAGGAATGACTCAGCATCCTGCAGAGCCCAGGATAGCCCCGCCACAGAGCATGACCTGGCCCCAAATGTCCACAGCGCTGCAGTTGATAAACCCTGTATTAAGTATTTGGGGGAAAAATTTATATTGCTCTCTATTCATATTAGATATCAGAATAAACTCCCAATAGGGCAGATGGTATAAACATGGGTGACCACCAGCTCCTGGGACTCACCTTCTCTCTCCCTCCTCACTCAGTGTGTGGATTTAAATGTGTGCAGCCTCCTAGGACCTCAGTAAGTATCTAGATGATTATGGGATGCTGAGTCCCTTGGGTGTCAACAGAATCCCTTAACTTAGGGGGTGGGGTCTCACTTGGGGGTGATCCTGTCTCCAAGAAGACACTGGGAAATGTCTGGAGACATCTTGTGTGGCCATGGCTTGGGGGAGGGTGCTATTGGCAATACGTGGGTGGTGGGCAGGGGGTGCAGCTCAATACCCTGCAGTGCACAAAACACCACAGAGCATAGCCCAAGGCTGAAAATTCCTAGTTTAACCCAATCTCTCAACTGCTAATCTTTTAGTAGGCCTTTAACAAGTACCAGTTAACGGTATAATCACTCTGTGTGAATTAACTGAATTAACTCATTTAATCTTCACCTACAAGGTGGATACTCTTACTGTATCTATTTTTCAGAGGCGGAAACTGAGGTTAATTAACCTCCTCAGCCTCCCACTACTGGAAGGAGATTGGGCTGACCTTGATTTTCCAATTGCCTTCATCAATTTATCAAACAAAAAAGTGTATAGCCATTCCACAAACAATTTTAAGCTAATATTTATTGCTATACTTAATACTAAAGTAATTCCTGTTCATTGTGGACTATTTAGAAAAGAGAAATAAGTTTAAAGAAAAACAAACAATAGGATAAATTGCTAGGTCAGTTTGCATCAGAAACATCTGATATGAACAACTAAGTTTTCCTTTCCAAAGTTTGCATCAACTTCATGTGGCCAGAGTCTGGTTTCCATATCTGCTGGAAGCAGACCTCAAATGTGAATTTACTTTACAAATGAACAGATCGAAGATCCCACCACCAAAGGGACTTTTCCAAATGTGCAGGAAGAAGAAATCTACAATGGCTGCTTTTCCTCTAGAAGAGAAAAATCTGAGATGCTGAATTGGCATTTGATGCACCCTCTGGAATCACATGGTGCATTGATAGTGTAATTTCAGGTAGAAGTAGGCAAAATTTAGAGGGGCATTGGTGTTTCCTTATGCTTAAATAAAATCATTAAGCCCCTTCAATGGGCTTCCTGGTATGCTAGAAATTAGACTCAAAATCCTCCCCTTGGTCCACCAGGCCCTGCATCACCTACCCTGCGCCCTACCAGCCCTCTGCTCCTCCCTCTCTCCCCTTCCTCGCTCTGTTCTAGCCACAAGGGCCTCCTGCTGTGCCTCCTATACCTCAGGTGCATCCTGCCCCAGGGCAATTTGCACTGAGCTTTTTTTTGTTTGCAGTTTTTGGCTCGGGCCAGGTTTGAACCCGCCACTTCCAGTATATGGGGCTGGCACCCTACTCCTTTGAGCCACAGGTGCCACCCTGCACTGGGCTTGCCTGGAACACCCTTTCGCCCTGTGGTTGCTCTTTCCCACAACTCAGATCTGAGTCCCATTCATCCTCAGATTCCAGCTTGGCTTGATATGGAAGGAGGGTGAAGTGCCAGGGTCACAGTGGGGCTGGCAAGGGTGGGAGGTTGCACATCTAGTGGACCTCTGGCTTGCACCAACTTCATTCTCTTTTCCCAGGACAACCCTTCTAAGCTGAGTCTCTAATTGTCCTCCATTCCTTAGCTATAGCCCTGGATATCAGCCTTACCTCCTCCTTTTGCCCCTCCTCCAAATTTCTTGCCCTCAGTCTGTCTCCTCCCCGGCTAGGCAGCCTTCTTCTTCCATAAGCAAGCGGTGTGACACCAGGTAAATCCCTTAACTTCTCTGGGCCCCAGCTTCCAGGCCTATAATGTGTACATGATTATGAGCAGATTTCATCTACAAAAACCCTATCTCCAAATAAGGCCCCACCCCCAGACACCTGAGGTTAGGACTTTAACATGTCTTTTCTAGAGGAAACAATTGAATCCATAAAATGAGAGAAGAGGATCCTAGTTTTGGGGACTACCAGGTCTGCATTTGAACTTCTGCTTTGAGATGGTGGGCAAGTCTGTTTCTTTTTCCAAGCTTCACTTTATGGGTCTGGAAAATGGATAATCCTAATAATATGCAGCTTATATTCTTGCTAGGAGATTTTAAAGGGGCACTTCATGCAAACGCTAAATAGAACATGCTTCATCCACCTCCCTCCACCTCTCTGGTTGCCACCATTCAGGGTCCCAGCTTCATACATTTGCCCAGGCACCTTTCTAGGCCCAGAATACCCTCCTCACTACTCACTTGACCTAGCTCAGCATCAATATTCCTTCTGTCCTGTGTAGAAAGGAGAGCCGATATTCCTAGGTTTGAGCCCAGCCCTGATCACGATCCTGTAAGTCAGGACAATAGCACTGGCTACCTGTGGTGGACATGGATCTGGGGCCCACAGTATGGCATATCTGTGGGGAATGACCTGTTCCAATTCTGGGTACAAGCAGCTCTAAGAGGTGGAGGAAGGAGACTTCCTTTCTGGCTCCAGGTTAGGCACATGACCTAGGCCTGACCAATGGGTGCACTGCATTTTCCAAGCCACAGTGATTGGTTCCATGTGGGACACATGATCCAAGCAGGGCCAATGAGTGCCAGCTGTGGGACTTTTCCAAAAAATGACTGGGAAGAAGGTTCTTCCTGCCCTGGTGATTGAGCAAGGGTTGGAGACCTGGGGCAGGGCGTGCATGTGTGAGAGGCTCTTGCTGTCAGGAGGTATGATCCTGCTGGAAAGACGCCATTGGGGCCCCACACATAGATTCCTGGCACTTCCTATTTCTATGCCTATTGACCCAGCCTCCAACTTAAGCACCTGAGACTCTACCTGGGGGCATCTTCTGGTTCTGGAACTTGCTGTGCTTATATATAGGAGAATCTAAATGTGCCAGAGAATTAACACCATTGGAGAGCAATCCTTATCAATAACTGATGGGAATTAATGCACAAACACCCCATCTCTCTCACTCCTCAAATGAGATAACTCTGGAGTGCATGTTTCACATCACCACCTAGATGACCTGGCAGGACTGAGTATTAGTTGCCCCTAGTGATAACTTACTGGACAATACTTCCTTCATAAGGTGCCTTCCCTTTTCTGTCTACCTTTCCTCCTCCCCCTCTCTCAATATTTTCTGAGATCACTTCCAAAATAAACCACTTATATTCTAACTTTTGTCTCAGGGTGTATTTCTGGGGGAAATCCAAACTAAGATGGTGCCTGGGAATAGAGGTAACGTACAGGAAGGCAGAACACAAAGACTGAAAGAAATGTGGGTCCTTAAAACAGCATTTGAGCCCCTTGATCCAGCT